TAGAGTCTCACAGTGTTATACAGTAATATTTACTGATGACGTTTCGAGCACAATTTATTGCTCATAATCATATCAAGGTAATCACACGACTTCCTAAATTCTGTTATATAGTTACATTGTTTTTCACTTGATTTGATTGGTAGTATTATTTTCCATATTTCAGGTATGAGTGATGATTCATTCCTATTGCATGTGTTGGGTGTAGATTCGATGAACAAAGATTCAGTAATCAACCTCTCTCTCCATCTACCTAGATTACTTTTTAGAATTTTAACCCTCTCCCACCCTATTGTGTGGTTGTGTGTTAATGCATGCATTGCAATTGCTGAGCTTTTTTCTAAATTACTTATCTTCTCTGGGTCAACCATTCTTACCTTAGCTAAATCCTTATGTTCTGGCAATCTGACTACCCCTGACCTACTAGTTTGACCTATGTAGTTGACCTCACAGTCATTGCAGGGTATTTTGTAAATTATATTATTTTGTCTAATTGGGTCCACTGGGTCGTTTAACCTACAGAGCTTATCCCTGAGTGAGTTTGTAGGTTTAAATGCCACCCTAATTCCTGCTTTATTTGGAATCCTACGTAGGGTCTCAGGTGTCCCTTCTTTATATGGTATAACTGTCGATGACTTATATCCTCTCTTATTTATGTTATTATTATTAGTTTCACAAATATTTTTCTTTTTCTTTTTGACGTTTTTCAATCTTCCTAATGAATTTTAGAGGATAGTTATTTAAAACCAACGCCTCTTCTATCTGTTTTATTTCATCATTAAGGTCTTTTTTTGTGCCCTTTAGTGCCATTGCTCAGTTTGTTAAACACTTAACTAAGCCTGCCTTAACAGTTAAAGGATGAGATGAATTAAAGTCTAAATATTTATTAGAATGCTTTGGTTTTCTATAAACACTAGTGTGGAGTTTACCTTCTTCTATTCGTTTTATTTTACAATTTAACATAGCTAATTCTCCGTGCTCATTTTCGGTTTCAAATGTGAATTTTATTCCCTCCACTAGTGAGTTTATGTGTGTCAAGAAGCCAGAGATATGTTCTGTTTTTAACACAGTGAAAGTGTCATCCACATATCTCCACCATATTTTTGGAGTAGGATTAAACGTATTAAGTGCCATATTTTCCCAGCTATCCATAAATATATCTGCCACGATAGGGGGTATTGGTGATCCCATTGCTACACCTTCAGTTTGCCTATATATTTTGCCTTGGAATTTAAATATAGTAGATGTGAGGCATAGCTGAATCTGTAAAATAATTTCTTCAACGGACAGCTTTGTTCTATGATTGAGTTCTGGATCCGCAGTTAGTTCCTTTTTAACTGCTTCCAAGGCCATATCGACTGGTATATTAGTATAAAGACTGGTTATATCAAAACTAACCATTGTTTCATCATTATCTAGTTGTATGTCATTTAGTTTAATTTTCATCTCATATGAATTAGTTAGTCTAGAATTTGAACGATTTCTAATGGGGCATAATATCAGAGCTAAATGTTTTGATAATTCATATGTAGGGGTATTTCTAAAATCTACTATTGGTCTTATGGGATAACCTGGCTTATGTATTTTAATAGTACCATATATTCTACTAGCATTATTAGTTTTAGGCATTAAATTAAACCATTTAGACTCACCCAGTGACGGCTTCATTCTGAGTACTAATTCCGCTGTGGATTTTTTAACCTTATTCATTATTGTATCTACGGGCTTCTTGATTTCCTCAAATGGACCCATTTCAATATGTTCATTGACTTTCTTGATGTAGTCAGATTTATTCAAAACTACAGTGGCGTTTCCTTTGTCAGCTTTTGCGATGACAATATTTTTATCCTGTTTTAGATTAATAAAAGCTTCTCTTTCCGATTTTGTCAAGTTTGATTTTGCCTTCTTTGGATTTTTTAGGGTTAATGCACATTGTGCTCTAACCTCTTCTGCTGTTGCCTTATCTATTGAACCTAGTGCTACTTCTATGTTAGGAATGACATCCTCTGGTTTTTAGTTTATTAACTGTTACGTTGAAATCTAGTCCTTTCTCCAGTACTTTTATCTCACTGGAGCTTAGTTCCCTTGATGAGAGGTTGATCACCCACTTTGTTTTGTCGATGGAGGATGAAGCATTGACATCAATTTCATTTACTGTGTTCTTTTCTTCAATAAGTTTGTTGAATTTTTTGATTTGTGTGTTTTTTGATTTTCTCAATGCAGATTCTCTAGCTTTTTTGGATGTTTCAAGAATAATTGTATAATATTTGTCATTGATCATATATTTGAGTTTGTGTTTGAGTTTTTCAATTTCATTTCGTATATTATTTAGTTTTACAGTAACTCGATGTAATTCTTCTCTTAGACATAATCTACTGACATTTTTGGCAGCTGATGTTATTTTACTTGAAGTAATTGGAGTACGTAGACGTAAATATTTCGGAATTATATGATTTTTTAAACACCGACTGTTAAAAATCCGATGATTTGTGAAAAAACAACCTGACAAGAGTAACAAAGGTTCACTTCAGTATCACAGTGCTTACATTACTTAGTTTAGACAAAATAAACGTGACTTAACTAGAGATAATTAGATAAGAATATTTTCATAATATCCAACACAGAAGATGCCGCAGAATATACGTGAAGCAAAGAAAGACGAAGAGAAGAAGAAACAGAAGAAGAAATAATAGTACTACTACTAGTAGTAGTATTAGTAGTAGAAGTATCAGTAGGCTGTTAATAGACCATGATAAACACTAGAGAGTACTGAACAGTTATTTCTTTAGCCTAGCTTTGGACTCATCGGATGTACGTAATCAATGGGGTTTGAGTGCAATACCTTGCGTTTTCAAGAGAGACTGGTTGACCACTCAGCCATTGAGACCCAACTCGAACGGTAAGCCCAAGAATTCTTCCTCTTACTAACACCAGCCAGTGTCATTCACGGTGAGTATTAGTTCTCATTCCCGAGTGAGTTGACTACACAGGTAACGAGTTATCACTAGAAATCACACCAGGAAAATTTGTTCTGCAGGTAGTCACCAGTGGGTGCCAGAATAATATACAAGGGATAGTGTGTGAGAATATGATTTTTATCATGTTTAACCACGATTTGATATCGTTCAGTTAAGCCCTGATAACTAACTTCAACTGTACAAATCCATCTATGGTTGGTGTAAATTCACCAATCGGTAGAAGTTAGAATTCTTGCATTGGTCATTCAGTGAATGTCAAGAACACAATATTCAGTGAAGAGACTCTTTTCAACGAATTTATTATCAAGCTGTACAATGGTATATATATGGTTTTTAAGAAATTATATCCGGTGAGGGAATTAGGTCAAAGGTGTGAATACATGAAATAATGATAGTATGAAATGCAATTAAAATATTTGTGATTATAATCATAGTTGAATGTCAAGTGGCACAATAATTAATGTCGCATATAGAATAATACATAAGGTGTATAGATGTGACGTCGCTATTTACCAATGTTCCTCTCATGAAAACTGTTTGTTACTTATGTGATTATATTGATACACATAGTTTAGAAATAGGACTGCCGACCATCTACCTCAAAGAGCTTTCATTGAGATGCACGGTGAATATTCAGTTCACATTCAATAATGAGATCTTTAGACAGAGAGACGGCATTGCCATGGGATCACCACTGGGTCCCTTGTTGGCTAATTGTTTTATGGCAAAGCTTGAAAATTCCCAAATTAGTCAAACAATCGGTCATTTTGACATTTATAAACGATACGTAGACGACACTTTCGTTATCTGCGATAAAAATGTAATTCTTGATGATGTCTTGTTTACTTTCAACAACTGCCATCCTTCTTTACAATTCACCGTAGAAAAGGAATCCGAATGAAGTATTCCCTTTCTTGATGTGTGCCTTAGCAGACGTAATGACGGATCTCTCAAAAGATCTATCCACCGGAAACGTACATGGAACGGACAACTAACTATTTCTTACAGTTGGGTGCCTATCTCCAGGAAAAGACAATTTAATTCATTCGCTTCGCTCTAGGATAAGGAAAATTTGTAGTTCTGATTCCACTGACTCAGAAGTTGACTTCTTAAAAGCCACTCTGGCAGAAAACGGTTACCCTAACCGATTTATTGACAGAAACATGAAAGAAAAGCAGTCTAAACTGTTCACCGACACAGTTCCAAAGAAAACCTTATTCATGAACTTGGAATTCAAAGGTGATCAAGCTTCAGATATGCTCAAAAATCGTCTCTCTAAATCAGTCAGTAAGACGTTCTATGCAGCAAAATTACATATGACGTTCACTAGCCGCAAGTTGTTCTCTACCTCTGTAAAAGATAAGCTCCCCCGTCTGGCCGCCTCCATGTGCATCTATCAGTTCACCTGCTCTTGTGGAGCTAGGTACATTGGCTGTAGTCAGAAGACGCTTTCCACATGGATACGAGAACATATTCCAGCTTGGTTTTATAAGGGAGAAAGGAAGTGTGTGAGAATCTCTGTTTTGGAACACCTGATAGACTTCTGTCACTCTGTTAACCCTGACCATGATTTTAAGTTCAGTGAATGGTCTACAAATTTGTCTACCGCGGAAGATTCCGGGTCCCAATTCAAATGGCTAAGTACTGCCTATGATTCCCAAATTAGGGAGAGGGAAAAGATGTCCAGTTCACTCTCCTGTTATTCAATGGTCCGCTGAATGTTATCTAACCACTGTGAAACGTGAAGAAATTCAAATTACCTCCTACAAAGTAACTCTTGAGAATTCTACTAAATTTGAAATAGATGTCAGTCTATCTTCTGAGAAAGGATTGGTTGATTTACCTTTACATGAATGGTGACCATAGACAGCAACAAAGACCGTGAATCAGTATACTGTTGTTTTTCTTCTGTTACCAATGTACTACTGACTGATTTTATATGCCACGTAGTATGCTTTGTTACTTGCCAAATTTACCTGCATCTTTAGATAGGTGAACACAAAAATGAGATACACATATGTAAACCATATACATACATAGTGTGCGTTCAAATATAACTATAAAAATGCATGAAATTATTTTGCAGTAGATAACACAGACAACATACACTGTTGAGAGATTTTAAATCATGAGAAATTTAGTACTGCAGACACTATGTTGCCTTCTACTCCTATTACCTTTTATCAATGCAAGTAATGAAAGTAAGTTGATTATTATTCCTTTTTTACAATTTGTCGAAATATTATCATTTTGCTTTTTGTAGTATTATTTTTGGATCAAAATTTTCTCAGTTTTATTTAAAGTAGTTAATTACCCATCACTATAACTATTTAAAAGGTGAATTTCAGTGCAAATTTTCTTATGATTACAACTTAGATAGAGAATCATTGATCATTTGAACGGGTTTTTCATTCTGGTGTGAATGTCCGTGCAGGCGTTGGTTGATAGCAGAACTATATTAGCGGATTAGCTGAGGTTAAAATGACTTGGTATGTCGATTCCCAGCCAATGATTAAATGATCAACGCACCAGTCTTATAATCTGGGAAGTTAGATCTCCAGTTAAGTCATAAACGAATACTGTTGAAGAGTTGTATACTACGAAGTAATAGATGCTTTTCAATAATGCTCTAAACTAATGTTAGTTCTGCACTCAAATTAATCAAAAGTCACTAGTGTAAGACCTGGAATCTGAATATTTCAGTTAAGCCTAGAATTATTTTATTCAATGTAAATAAATTCCTTGAATTTCTTGAAATGAGTACGTGGAAGATTTCGACTTCATCTCTTGAATAATTTATCTACAGCGAAGTAAAGTCAATTCGACCTGATTATCTAAATACGTAGATAAGCATTTTGTGTTCAACGGAACTTCCACAATCATCTCCATTTACACGTGAATCGAATCATCAATCTAGAGAGAGGGAATATCAATCTAGAACGAATTAAGTGAAAGTGTGTTGAGCATTTAAATATCCATGGGATTTCCTGTTATTTCATTGATTTTATTCAAGTTAAACTCCAAACTATGAGTTAGATTAGCATTTAAATTCTCCACAGATGAAAGACTTCTTGGTTAGTAAAATTAGTATGGGTGTAATCAGAATAAAGGTACCCTGTGTTGACCAGAATCTCACCTATAGTATGTGCAGTGTGTTACTGTTTATGTTGATTAACTATTCTTCTCAACTGTCATTTGCTGAAAGAGTTAATATCCCGATATGTATGGAAAGAGGTAATAGAGCAGGATTTAATGAATTCATCAAATTTTGGTGGAACTCCTCCTCAACTGAATACTCTGCATACAGATATATATATGTACCACTAGAGGTACACTGAGAGACATTTGGCTGAAAAATAAATAAACTGTAGTGAATCAATCATGCGGAACGACAGGTGAAGGTTTTTTACAGGCGAAGTTCAGATAGATAAACCGGAAGGAGTATGACGGATTAATATTAAGATTTGAGTGGATCACAGTTCAGTCACATCACTAGAAGAAACAATCACTTACTAGGGAAAAATCTAGATGTCAGAAATTATGAAGCTTATAATAATAGTAAAATGAGTTAGGATTATGATGCTAACAAAAGATAGTTTTAATTCATCAAGAATAATAACAAGATTTTTGTAATTCCCCATAAGTGGAAAACTGAACGGCATTGTTTCTACTAACTTTTAGCTATTTAATTCTGCCGATCGCCTTATAAAAATTGGCAATATTGAAACAGAATTCGCGATAGCTAAGCTTATATATCACAACTTAATCATCTTTATTCAACATACGACAATTCTTACATTTTCAAGAAAAAATTCCAATTAATTCACAATCTGTTTGTGGTTATAAAGTAATATGTATTGAAATGTGATGCGATGTACATTGGACAATCACCCGTGAGAAATCAAGACCAGAAGAAATTGACGCTGTAGGTCATCTGTCCAACCATCGAGTAGTTTAGTTGAACTATAAAAGCATGAAAAGTCATCAGGCGGGTGTACACGGTAGAAGGAATCAGGCCATATAATTGATTTTGACAATCCGGATGAATGTTAGAAATCACACAGAACGTCTAACATCGGAAGTAATTGATGTTAAATGTGATGCGAACTGTCCAAATGGAAATAATGGAGCAAGATAGAATTTGACGTGGTTCCAATACCACCAACCTCGTCTCCCATGAAGTGGCAGAGTAAACACAAATGTGATACGCAATATTGCTATGTAAAGACATGCTGTTGTTATAGCGTCTTTCACTTCTCATATCCAACCACCTGCACACAGTTTTGTTATCCTTACCAAGTGACCAACTTGACAATCTTGAACTTATTTAATATTTATAAATATATGTACTACAGGGTGTCTATCAGATGAGATATTAGTCAATAAAGAAGATGCACTCAGAAAAATCATGAACTAATCTTTCGCCTTCGGGTTTTAATTATTTAGTGTGCGACAGTTGCAAAAGGTGTACCACACATTTCGCAGTTGAATGGTAAGGTGATGTAGACATATCCAAGACTCCTCCAAGTGGAAAGTCTCTTTTATGGATCTTACGTAGACCATATAACCTGGATGCCACAGCATCTACAGATCACTGAATAATGTCATTATTTTATTTAAATAGTCATTTTTATGTATGACAACAACCAATAGGACTTTATCATGTTTTGGAAGCACTAAATCCTCTTTTCGTAAATTTCTGTATAGTCTCTTCATGTTTTATAGTCCAAATAACATCCACATTGAATATCAACAACAGACAACTAAAAATTGAATGATTTGATTTCTTTGTTATGTGAACAGCATCTATTCGTAATGATCTCAGCATGCATTATCTTCCTAATACAGAATTTCAAAAGTGTGCAGTGTGCTACTTAAATATTTATAAGTAGTGTCAGTAGTGAGGCCTTCAAAACAAGGTGAAATGAAGGAATATGGCCAAAAATTCCGATAATTCACAATAGATAATCAAGGATTGATACATTTTTAAAACAGAATAGTTGACGTTATTCTAAGATTGTACAATAATTGGCAGATCAATTTTGTCCGTAAATATGCAAGATGGACGACAACTACAATTCTAAACTTACCTAATTCGATATTATCTTCCACAACAGCTCAACATGAGCTCATGAGCCAGCATAACACTGAGCAAATGATCTGTGATAGACAAGATCGGCGGCTTACGTAAGTGACAGTATCACAGTTATGGTTTCCGAACTGAGTGGTGTAATTGCTAAGCTATGGATTTTCTTTCCACACAGCTGAGGCGATAGGCATTCGAACTATTAAACCTAAACTATGTATTCAAAAAAAGTTCGTACAGCCATTATCCCTAACTTGGCCTATTAAGACATAACCAACTAAACACTTCTACACCACCCTTTGTATATATTTGCAACCCCTTTCTTATCATCCCTTAATCTTATCACATCTTCATTAAAAACGTGTCTCATTTACTTCCTTTACAATCTAACATTACTTAATCGGTTCATTTGCTTTTACTAGACTTTATCGACTACTTCCACCTGAACAGTTGTTTGTTTAATCATGCTGTTTTTCATTATTCGTGTTATCACAGATTGCCTCACTTTTTCATCCTTATTATTGATAAGAACATTTTTATTATTACAATAATTATTATTATCATTACTACTATTATGACTAATTGCACAATTTATATTCACCATCGTATTATCCTATAGACAAAACACCATGATTGGTTTATATGTGAATTTTTATTTGTAAACTTATATATATTTGAGTTAAGCCTGATGAGATCTAATGGGAAACAATATTGTTCGCTTAAATGTGTTGTTCTTAATTTTACCATGGGAATATTTAATATATTGAAAAGTGAATATGCAAGATCAATTTCACTTCTAAGTAGTAGAATGCATCGTGAGATGAGCGTAACTTCTGATTGGGGCGATTTTCATTGTTTTTTTGTGGTCTTCAAAAGCAGTTGAATCGGCCAATTATCTGATTCTTTATGTACAAGAGAATTTTATTTTTGTGTGTGTATATGACTTGGTAAACGAAGTGTTAATTAGATAGCTTGAGGGAAATATTTTACTCCATTTCAGATGATCTGAATTCAACACTGGACGCATACGCAGATTCATACCGTGAAGCTGTGGATTATAAATGTATGTGTTTATTTCACCGGAAATCATTATATGTTTGTCTCCTTACTTTAGACTGTTCTGTAACGATCAGTGTTCACATTCTCTTACCACTTATATCGCTTGCCTTGATTTGTAGATGGCTAATCAACCAATTCAATCACTGACAACACTGAGTAGCTTTTTAAAATATCGTTTACAACTGCGCATCTCCATTTAAATTCGGGGAGATATATTTCTCATGTCAACAGATGTATGTAATGTCATCTAAATGTAATAACATGCAAATCATTCTAGTAAAGTAGAACAGGAAGCTGATGCTTCAACGTGAGCGACAGTGCTTCATCTATTTCAGGAAACTTGAAAATCTCCAGGATAAAATTTTGTATGCATGTGCATACTACAGACTGAGATGAGTTGAATAGCAGTTGCAGAGTAATTTCTATTGGGCTAAAAGGCTCAATCACTTGGTACTGGTTACCAGCGGATTGTGCGATTAATATTTACATTTGTGTGGAGGTGTGTCGATAATGCACGGAGGACAGGCACACTACATGAACAATTTGTTACACAAAGGCAGAAAGTCTGATTGCATGTTGCCTACAGGTCGTCATTTATTTTGTCAGAACTTTTATTCAAGCATTAAACAATCCACATACTTCGGACTTATTTCCACCCGTTTGTCTGTTTTAGTTCTCATGATTGAAATTCAGACAGGCGAAGATCCTCAGAATGTCGAAGGAATAATAAAACCTGGTGAGTAATTTTATCAAATTTTCTACATGGCTGCATATAAATAACAATGAACGAATTATTCTTATTTTGAATCCTAAGAAAAAGACGTAAACAACGAAGAACATTTTCTTTTCAACGATTCATTTTCATAAGCTTTACTATGGTAATTATATTTACCAATGAAATCATAGGACCAATGGGATACTGGTAAAATTTGTCTGTTTCTAGTTTACACTTTGCATTACGTATTACCATTATTCGAGGAAAACTTTTACCACTCTTATGCTTGCCTTGATAATTACAGCTTATGAAATGAATCGTTGAAAAGAAAATTTTCTCAGCCTTTTATATCTTTTTCAAATAAATGTCAGCCATGAATATTTGGTCAGGTCTTTTTTCGATCAATAGTTTATGTCACATTTCATGCATTCCAATGAATCAAAAATGAACACTTGTGATCCTATTGATGATGACTGAGTATCTCGTTTGTTAGTTTTCATGTGATAAAGATGAAATGTACCTCTTGGTCTATGCGTGATAACATCTAAGGTAACAGAACAACACTGACTGATTCTAATGGTTGAAATAACGTCTGTATAGGATGTGACAGGAAAGCTTTTGTATCACCCACCTTCCTACTTTTACTGATGCACGAACTGTCATCTCTGCCTTGTGATTTCAAGCAGGTTACTGAAACCCATGAACTCACTTCTGAGTGAAGTAGAAGATCCTTTGTATAAACGGGATACTGGTAGAAGCGGTTTCGGCTGGAAATGGGGTCTGAGTCTTAATGTTGTCTACTGCTTCTCTTGGCGTTCTCGGCTTCTTTCCCAGAATATTTTTATTACTCTCCTGAGTTCCAAGCGGAAAATAAGAGCTCAGCTGCACATCTCCATACTATCCTCTTCTTTGCAGTCCATCGTAGCTAGCTGCACAACTGGCCAATTAACCTGTATTTTCCTCCCACACAAGCTCCACAATGTCACCACCACTCACCTCCTCATATAACACTCACATTTCATTAAACAGACTGAAGTGTGATATCAGTCAACAGTTGGGAAGTAGATGCATAACTGGTTTGTCACCAGACTTCCTTGCTGCTAATGCTTTCTAACATCCTTGTCTTCAGTACTGAGGCATCAAAGTCAGGTGTTTACAAAAGTCTTTTGTCAATGCTTTTATCGACAGGATAAGTCTCTGAATCATGTAGAAGCATGGATTTGACGTCAGTGTTGAAGACCCATACCTTGTCTCCCTTATACTCGCCTACTGGCTTGAAAGCGGTGAAATTCGGTCTTGCTTCTCTGACCTTAGCTGACTGCAGTGTCGTCACTCCTGCCACCACGTATAGTTGAAATGGTGCTTCCTGGATAAGTACAAGAAATGATTTCTCTCACATTTCTACCATTGCTGTTTGTTGGTTGGTAGGTTGGTTGTGTTCAACGCTTTTATTTTCTCTATGCTCACTTGAAGACGTGTCATCGCTGGCTGATTCTTCTGCGAAAGTGTTCGTCATCGCTTGCAGATCTTCAAGTTCGTGTGATATTAGACATAAGTCATCGACGAAGTTCAAACATTCCTAAGTCTGCCTGTTGCATCAACGTATGATCATCTTCCTGCTCCTCACGGTCTTTCACACGACCCCGTTGCCCACTAACAGGAGTACCATCTGTGACCAGCCTCACTGAGATTTCCATTGTGGATCTCTTAGCATTTGACAAATTCACGTAGCCGTTCGGAACATCGTACTACATAGTTTTCAATGCTGTCGAAGGATTTTTCAAAGTCAGTGAAGTTGAGATAGATATTTGATTGCAATCCTATGCTCTCTTCGATGATAAGGTATTGCTTTTCTTGAATCCAGCATGTTATTGAGGGATTTTCACATCCATAGCGTCATTTTGTCTCTTTCTCGGATGACACGAGACAGTTTTTTGCTTGGATTGGACGGAAGCATTATCCTCCGTTCAATTCTTTCAGAGACATAAGCAACCTTTCTCTGATAGTTTGACAAGGTAGCCTATCCTTCCAACCACCCCTTAACTTTCCGTCATCTGAAATGTAATGCACCAGTGGCGTGAGTATATCCGGTGAGTTGCTTTCAACAGAATTTCACCTGATTCTGAAACCTTTCCGACTTCCAGTAACATCATGGTATTCGAAACGTTCGATAATTTGACTGGACACTGATAACAAGTGTAATGTTTCTAGTCCTTTCTTTGGTGCAGACTGAATTCTTTCAGTCAGGTTTGTGATGTGACCACCATTCTAGGTATCTTGCTATCTCGGTGCATATTGATTTGATGATATTAGATGGTTAAAGGCAATCGACAGAAAGCCTTCGACCTAGGTTTGTGTCATTTGGCACTCGTCAGCAAGGCGTATCTACAACGAGCTTGAAGGAACTAATGTCCCTTTCTGAGATTCAAACCCGCGTCACCTAGTGAGGATCTAATTGAAAAGTAAATATTTATTCGCTCAATCTTTCTGTTTTCTTATAGTCAATATTCACTAAACAAATAACCTGTATCAACTAACATTATGGCATGCCTTAATTTAGTGTTTTTTTCCACTTTAAACAGAAATCCTGAGACTTGAACACTTATATCAAAGTAAATGGGCAAAGGAATTTCTCGAATGTAAGTCCTGTCATTCACGCATTCGATTCTTTGATGTTCCTGAAATGATCCGTGTGTTCAGTAGAGGCGTGGGTTTTCACTGAAGTTAAATATGTTGGTTTGCGAATTGAAATGAATTGCAGTGTCATTGGAAATGGCCACAGAATTCAATTACTAGACAAATAAATTATCAAAACTAGTATTAAGGAGAGTGGTCACCTGGTGTCAGTATCACAGAAAATTCTTTTCACAAATAGTCTGCAACATTTTATGGAGAAACTTTGAGTTGAGGAATGAATTTCATGTACACACTTTGCGAATTATTCCACTACACATATAAGCGGTGACTAAATTGGGCCGTCCGCAGAATGAATGCTGTTGATTCACCTTTCAATATTCTTTTCACCTCAGAGACAGTATAGTCTGATAGATAAGTTATGTAACGCCTCGAACAAGTTGCCATGTATTTTGTGTAAAAACCAGCAGCTTCTGTGTTTCGCTTTGTTGTACTTTTCATGTCGGACAAACCCTCAGCACACATTTCAGGTTATCTCACTGTCCCCCTTTTACCATGTGTCCGAGTACAAGTAAATTTTTTCCCAAAAATTATCTACACTTTTACAGCAATCGGTGCAGAAGATAAGAAGCTGGTGAATTTTTTTATTGGTGGGTAATTTCTTCCTAAAGTAATAAACAGAATGAATGTAACAAATCATTTGGTATCTGACGACAAAAACACCATGTTACTGTTTGTGAAATGAACGTCAGCTTGAAATCATTTCGTGTGACAGATGTCACTAAAGGTGTTCATATTGATTTTTATTTGATAAGGCTATCAAGTGAAGCCATGATCGCTCATCTATACGAATGCAATCTAGTCCATTTAATGAAGCATTGCCACATTTCGCATAAATGCAATCACGAGTGACGTGGTATTCAGTAGTGAAACAATTTCCTCCATCATCCATTTTCTCTACAATGTCCTCTTCAACATTGGCCTGTTCAGTACATACATGATACAATGAAAGGGCACGCATCATTGATAACATTCCGAATATAATTTATAAACCTGTTTATTTCTCAAGTTCATTTATACAACTTGGAAACTTTGATAACTTATTTCTACTCTATTTTCATCAAATATCGAATGGTTGAATAAAACCACAGTTATTCAATTACATTATGAAATTGCTACTGTTATTCATTCTCTGCCTTCCTGGGTGAAACACCAAGATGCTCATTTCCAAAGATGTTTTCGAATGGTTCAGTCCAGATCAACAACATAGGTATACCATTGGTGATAGTAGACGGCCTTGTCTTAACTTCAAGCGATTAAGTGAACTTTCCGTTGTAAGGTAATCACATACCTGTTGAATGAGATGCATCAGAGTAAGGCAAGCAAGTTACTTCATCGTCAAATCTGTCGAAAGTTTTCTCATATTCCGCTGGAATGCGTTAAACAGCTGACCGCCATTCTAGCCTATAATTGATGACGATTTGCAGTTGTACTGTGAGATTCGCTCATGATTTGTCTCCATTCAACCCAAACCGATCCCAGCAGCAACATTCATCCATGATATATGCTGGGAGAAAAGTGCCCAAATATTCTATTTAAAAATGACTGTTTGATTGTTGCGAAAATTTAATAATGTACGTAACGTCATCTGTTTATAAATGAATTTAATTCACACTTTCCTACTATCAAAGTGTACAATTACACGCTACAGATTGTTGGCACTTTGAGTAATTAAATATGCATCAAAAAATGCTTCCTTTCTCTATAGATGAATACGGAAGGGCATTGGAAGAAGATACCTCTTTTAATTACACAGTTCTTGGTATGATCGATTTTTTAACTAAACGTTATAAAACTACTCAATCTAAAGTTCATCGTTTAGCTGAAATTAGGCAACCAGTTCTGTGTAAAATACACATAAGATTTTGAACTGGCGTTTTGTGTCAAGTCATTATTTCAATCTTCAAACATACTTCCTTTTCATTCACGTCAATCGCACTTCTCTACCAAAACATTTGTGAGCGAAATTACGCAAGGATGAACCTGATCGCCGTCAGGACATTTCTTACCAAAGTGGACCGCTTTCCTTTTTGTTCCTAATAGTGATTTGTTACTAAGATCCATCGTTCTGAATATCTCCAGCTTATTTGTCTGTTGATTGATGGCATTATCGTTTGAACTGGTGATCATTTTCAT